CAGGGAGCCCAACGTGGGGCTCGATCCCAGGACCCTGGGACCATGACCTGAGCCGAAGGCAGACGCTTAACGACTGAGCCACCCAGGCGCCCCTCAAAGAGATTTTTAAATGAGAAAAATATTTGTATTTACCCACATATTTACCATTTCTACTGCTCTTCATTCCTTTGTATAGATCTAGATTTCCAATTGGTAAAATTTTCTTTTTGCTTGAAGGACTTTAATACTTCTTGTAGTGCAGGTTTGCTGGTGATGATGTCTGTCAGCTTTTGTGTGTCTGAAATCTTTGTATTTGAAAGATATGAATTTCAGAGATACTTTAAAGATGTTTACTTACTGGGTATAGAGTTGTAGGTTGACATTGTTTTTTGGTTTTTTTTGTTTTTGTTTTTTTTCCTTTTAGTACTTTAAGGAATGCTCTACTGTCTCTTGGCTTATATTGTTTCTGATGAGAAGTCTGCTGTAATTCTTACATTCTTTTGCTTATAATGTGAGTTATTCTGACTGCATTTCAGAATTTACCAGTGTTTGACATTTTATTTATTTACAAGTTGTTAGTGTTCTGATTGAACATGTTAAGTTCTCAGTAATCACCCCATGCTGAGTTTCTGGAGCCTCTGACCGCTGTGTTTCTAGAGACAACTACACATATCTGTAGAAAAAGAGGAGAGGTAACATCCTTGAGTCATTCATGGCTTCTGAGTTGATGTAAGAGTCTCTTGTGATCCTTTATACCACTCCAGAAACATTAAAGGCAGTCTTACTTATGGTGCTTCAGACAGGCAAGGGGTACTTTTTAGTTTCAAAGTGTTATAAGGAGTATTTCTGATGTCTCTGATAGTTGGTGTGGATGACTACAGCTCAGAGTCTGATGTGATTATTATACCTTCAGCCCTGGACTTTGTCTCACAAGATGAAATGTTGACGCCACTGGGGAGATTGGACAAGTATGCTGCAAGTGAGAACATATTTAACAGGTATGTGCATATTCTTTTCCTTGTGGAAGTGGAATGATTAATTATTACATTCATTTCCGTAGGGAAGATCCAGTTTTCCAGTTTAAAGTAGTATTAACATGTGTAGTCTCAGTCAGCATGTTTTGTTGATAATCACAGCCAAGGCCTCTTTTATAATTGTTTACTCCTTGATCCTAGTAAGCATGTGGCACTCTTTCTTTGCTTTTTGGCAAAAAACAAAAAACACCATTACTTTTTTGCTCTTAGGCATAATTTTGATATTTGTGTAAAGTGATTACTGAGGGGGGTATATTATTCTTTCAGCAGATGATGTTGTATACCTACTGTGTGCCAGGTGATATTTAAGGGGACTGGGACACTCTTCCTAATGCATTATTTCCCCAGCTGTGGTCCCCAGAATACCTGTATCAGTTTTCTGGGAAATCTGCGTCTTAAATTTCTTGAGTATAGATGTATAAAACTCACTTAGTAAAAATGAATGTGTGTATTTGTATATACTGAAGATATATGATGAAGAATGTGTGTATTTTCCTATTATTTGATAGTTGAAGGTAACTGTTGGAAATTTTATAGAATTTTCAGTGACCTTAGAAATTTGTCACTTCAGTTAAAGATGAAAAATATTTTGGTAAATATTCAGTCTCATCCTGTTACAATAAAATCCATACTGGCATTTGTCACTTAGGAAATTAGTGACTTAATGTATGTTATAAAATGTATTAAGAAATTCTTTAAAACCATGTAGATTCTACCTTTTGGAATTCTAAATATTACTCATGAACACCACTAAACACCATATCATTTTCTTTTTCTGTTAGACAAATGGTGGCCCGGAGTTTGCTGGACACGTTGAGGGAAGTCTGCGATGATGAAAGAGATTGCATTGCTGTTTTGGAAAGAATTAGCAGATTAGCTGACGATTCAGGTATATGCTTATGCAGAGAAAGGTTTCTTTTACCAAATTTGAGGTTTTAAAAACTAATGAAAAACTCAGTGTGATGTGAGACTTCTTTAAAAGATTTCCTAATTACCAAATACATCAGTAAAAAGAAAAAACTTTCTAAGAGCCACATTTTGTAGTTGGTCTGTTTAGTTTAATTTTGGAAATTTCTCAGAAAAATCTAAAGATTGTTTTTGCATCATGTATGTTAATATTTTAGGATTACTAAAAACTTAAAAATAATTTTGAATAAATTTTAAAAGGGAGGGATTGGGCTATAAGTTTTTTTTAAGTAAATATAAAATGCTTCCTTTTCCTATGCTTTCTCACTTGTGAAAAATGTGAATCAGTCATGATAAAACTAGAGCGTTTTGTCTCCAAGGCGAAGATAGGAGGGTCTGCTAAGAAAGAGATAAACCTGACTTCAGGCTTGGAATATGGTTCTATTAAGTTTTTTAAAAATATTTTTTTCTTGAGGCAAAATATGCATAACATAAAACTTACCATTTTAACCTAATCTTAAGTCATATGCATATCTTTATTTTTTATTTTAGAAACAATTCAAAAATAAATATATTTTTTTCTTAAACCCATTATCTCTATTAAAATGTGTTATTTTTCACTTTATTTTTTTTAGATTTTATTTATTTGACAGAGAGAGACAGCGAGAGGGGGAACATAAACGGGGAATGGGAGAGGGAGAAGCAGGCTCTCCGCCGAGCAGAGAGCCTGATGTGGGGCTCGATCCCAGGACCCTGGAATCATGACCTGAGCCGAAGGCAGATGCTTAATGACTGAGCCATCCAGGCGCCCCTAGTTTTCACTTTTTATCAAACTCTTTTGCATGTTAGCAGTCTCATTTTTTAATTTTTAGATGGGCTCATCTTTTGGTGAGCAATTTGTTTTATGGGAATATGCTTTACTGTTTACATAAGCCTTAAGTGTTTTTTATTTTCCTATAGGGTAGAAAAAAATTGGTAAGCTTACAAATAATCTGTCTAATGATGATGTCTAATGATGATGTATGTACTTGCTCATGTGTGTATGCTTGTTCCAGAATGGTTTTAGAAGAAGCTCATCAATTATAATTTTCACTTACTTATTTTTTGCATTATGGTTATTTATTCCTTTCTTAGTAGAATAGATACTCTTTAGGGAGGAATTTGTGTTTATTTTCTTTTACCTGTTTGCCACCTATAGTGCTTGTTTTTATAAATATATGTAGGTATATGTAGTTGACCCTTGAACATGGGTTTGAACTGTGCAGATCTATTGATACAGATTTTTTTTGATGAGTACAGTACTATAAATGTATTTTCCTTATGATTTTTTCTTTCTTTTCACCAGCTTACTTTATTGTAAGAATACAGTATACAGTACATATAAGCTAAAAAATATGTGTTTGTCGACTGTTTGTTATTGGTAAGGCTTCCAGTCAACAGTAGGCTAATAGTAGTCAAGTTTTGGGGGTGTCAAAAGTTATATGTGGATTTTCTACTGCACAGGAAGGGGTCAGTGCCCTAGCCCCCTAGTTCAAGGGTCAGCTGTAGATTTTTAAAAAATATATTCTCAAGTTGTTGAGTTCGTGATAAATCTCTCTATTGACATTTACATTTTTTGTTCATTTGGTAAAAATAACACAGTACACAGTCCTATGCCAGATTCTAGAATAAATGCTAGAACAGTTACTAAGGTGAATAAGAATTCCTGTCATCAAATTAACAGTTTAATGAATGCAGCTAACTTATAAACAATACATTATAATGGGGAGCATTGGTGCTGATTTCAGGAAGTTAGTGACATTGAGTTGAATTTAATAGAATGATGAGGTACAGAGAAGGAAAGGAGCATACTCAGGAGAAGAAAAGACGGGTTTAGAGGTTTAAGCAGTTCAAGATAGCTTTGGTCAACAGGTAGTTTACTGAGTCTACAGTTTAAAATAATGAGGCTCTTCAATAAGGCAGTCGAGGTATAGATTGTAGGGGTTTATACTGTGCCATGCTAGAGTGCGTTTTCGTGATATAGAACAGTAATGTACCAGTATGCACAGACTTGGTGACATAGATGGGCAACAGGAATACTTACTTGTTGGGGAACTCTGTTACTTGAATACTGAATAAAACTACACTACAAAAAGTACATGGACTATAAAGTTTCAGCTCCATGAAGTAAAGCAAAATGAAGACCAATGTAATTAGTACTCAGATCAGGAGATAGAACTAGCATCCCAGAATCCATTTCAGGGCACCTCCTCATTTCTGTCCTCTTCTTCCCCAAGGTAATCCATGTTTTGAGTGCTAAGTGTTTAGATTAGTTTGCTCCTCTGAACTTTATATGGAATCATACTGAATATGTTCTTTTGTGTCTAGCTTCTTTATACTTCTGAAGCTTATCAGGTTGTTGGTGTGTAACTCTATAGATTTTTTTTAATTGAAGCAGAAAAGATTTGGATGAAAAATGTACTGATAAGGAAAAAAAAACTTACAAGATTAGTAGTAAATCTAAACAAGTATTTGCTATATAAAATCCTAAAAATATGAATAACAACTTTAGGGGAATAAAGAAATCAAGGTAAACGTTGATAAGGAATAGGCAAATGAGAGATTTTAAGGTTCTGAGCTCCTTGTTTGCTCAGGAGACTAGAATATATGCATTAATTTTGCAACTGTATATTTTTCAGTAGTCATGATCAGCCCAGCCCACCAAGTTAGAGACGTTAGGCTCAACTCCCCTTTCTTCCTTCATTCCCTTCAGCCATCATAGTAGCTCTGAAATCCCTCCCCAGCACTTCAGTTCCTCCCAAACGACTCACAGTGCATTCATTTCTTGACTCTGTTTTGTTCCATTGGTCTTTTTACCTAAGCATGACTTTGAAGAAAGAGAAGTTACTGATTCCATTGTTTTTTTTTAAGATTTTATTTATTTATTTGAGCAGTGGGGAGGGGCAGAGGGAGAGGGAGAAGCAGACTCCCTGCTGAGCAAGGAGCCTGACATGGGGCTCGATCCCTAAGATCATGACCTGAGCCAAAGGCAGATGCCCAACCGACTGAGCCACCCAGGCACCCCTACTGATTTCATTCTTAACCAGAACTGTAACTTGTATCCTTCTTTTGCTTCAAAAATTTATATAAGTATTAGGTCAGTGTTGGCAAATTCAGGGTCAGTGAGGAAAAGGAGAGGCCTATTTTTTTTTTAAACTAAGTATTTTTCAAAACAGAAGCACTATTTTGTTCAATTACTGTCTGACTTCACATGGCAGAGCCATGTAATAGAAATTCCAAATACTGGTTTGTTGATAAGATTCTTAGCTTTGTAAGATGCTAGTACATTTTCTGCTGATAGTTTCATTAATTTCTGTTTGTTAAAATTTAAATTTCCTCCAGACCCATGCATGCATATTTACCTTAAAGTAACTGTAATGATACATTCATTAATACCGAAGTTCTAATTAGGTCTGATGTAATGAATTGTATTGATAATCCATCATGTCTGTATGTGTCTTAGTCACTTGCATTTGTTCTGAGAATTGCCTGTCCGTATCCTTATTTTCTTTCTTGTGTTCATTTGAACAATGGGTTCTTTGTATATTTAGTTATTAATATTTTGTTATACGTGTATTTTCTCCCAGGCTGGTTTGCCTTTTAACTGAGTGTGGTACCTGTTGTCTATAATGGAGGCTTTATAAAGTAGAATTAGTTGGTCTCCAAGTTGGTGTTGGGGTTTTGTTTGCCTTGGAAGGGCTTCTTCCTCAAGATTAAACTTTTTTTTTTAATGTTGTCTTTTCGTGCTTTTCATCTTTAAAAACAGTTTGGAACTTTAATTCACTTAGAATTCATTTATGATATGCAGGATGGGAATCTTTTTTTTATCACATATCTGATTCTCCTGCCATTACTCTTAGCAGTTCATCCTTTTGAAACCCAGAGATTTGAAATGATGTATTTGTCATACTTAAATTTGCTGTACATACTTGGGTCTTTTCAGATTTTTTTTGTTTCTTTAACTTGATTGGTCTACTTTAACAGTCACTTACCATTTTAGTCTTAATTTTAACCAGGAATTCTCCATTCATTGATTGAATTTAGCTTAGGAACCGGTCCTTATGAGGCTCTTAAATAGTCCTAGGAGGCTCTTTAATAGTTCATAGATAAGGGGCACCTGGGTGGCTCAGTCAGTTGGGTGGCTTGCCTTCGGCTCAGGTCGTGATCCCGGAGTCCCGGGATCGAGCCCCACGTTGGGCTCCCTGCTCAGTAGGGAGTCTGCTTCTCCCTCTGCTCCTCACCTTGCTCACTCTCGCGCTCTCTCACACTCTCTCAAATAAATAAATAAAATCTTAAAAAAAAAGTTCATAGTTAATACATATTTTATTGATGTGAATATTGGATATTTAACCCCTAACATATGTGACACAATGTAGGTGATGGATAAATTTGGTCATAATAGGAAATGATTGCATACTTGGTACACAGTAGGAGGATAGAAGCCTGGGATGGGAGTAGGGTCTTCCTTTTACTCATGGGGTTGACCTGCGTATGATTGTGAAAAGGTTCCTAGAGTTAGAGAACATTGTGTAAGTCCTTTTTATGCCGAGGACGGAAGTCCAAAGCTTTCCTAAATAGTCTTAAGCCCAGGCAAAGATTTTGTTACTGTGGGAGAATGTGTTTGCTCACATTTCTGTTATTTCAATAGAACCAACCGTGAGAGCAGAGCTGATGGAACAGGTGCCTCATATTGCATTGTTTTGTCAAGAAAACCGGCCTTCAATCCCATATGCTTTTTCCAAATACTTACTACCTATTGTGGTTAGATATCTCGCAGATCAGAATAATCAGGTAAGAGTGCCATTTACAGGTTCTTACTGGAAATGCATGTAATATGATGTATGTAGAATAGCCTCCCCTAGCTGGTCTCATTTGAGTGTTTTTTCCTCTTCAACTTCATTATTCTGTTTTTCAAAATGACCATGTGTCTTAGACAAGATATGTTGAGAGTCTGGCAAATCTAGGACATCTGCTTAATGCTGTTACAAGATGATGCCCAGTAGCTGCATTCTCACATGGTACCCTCATGGGTGTCCCTCAGAAAGTTTGGGAATTTGGGAGTCACCTTTCACAAGGATGGCTTTTCTTTTGCATGCATGAGAGCATGCGAGCGGAAAGGTGCGGCAGAGGGAGAGGGAGAGAAGCAGATTCTCCACTGAGTGGGGTACCCAACGCAGGGCTCAATCCCGGACCCTGAGATCACGACCTGAGCTGGAATCAAGAGTCGGGGGCCCGACCAACTGAGCCACCCAGGCACCCCACAAGGATGGCTTTTCTGTTCCGTTTCATTTGTCGTATCACAATCTGCCAAGTTCTGTCTTGGCAGTAGCTGGAGGAAATAGCGACAAGTTTTTATTTGCAAGGTTTTGCCAGTTATGAATCCCTTTAAGTTGAGATGAAAAGTCTTCAATATTGTGAAAAACAAGTAATAGAGTTTTGTTATATCACGTATGTACTTTGTTTATACTGCTGACTTCTTTCCTAGGTAAGAAAAACAAGTCAGGCAGCTTTGCTGGCTCTGCTGGAGCAGGAGTTAATTGAACGATTTGATGTGGAGACCAAAGTGTGCCCTGTCCTCATAGAGCTAACTGCCCCAGATAGCAACGATGATGTGAAAACAGAAGCTGTGGCTGTAAGTAGAAGGCGCTTTTTCTGTTCAGGCAAAAATTACTCACTGTACTGACAAATAGGAAGTGCTCAAATATTATGTGCTATGGAGTTTGTACGTATTAGGTATCAAAGTAGCCACAAATCATTAGAAAGGGCTAGAAAGGGACATAGGCACACAAAAAAGGTCTATGTTCTGTAGGCCCCATGTTGTGCTTTGCACCCGTGAATTAGATGGCTCTATTACTGGGCTCTGAGAAAGCAAGATATGGAGCAAAAGAATAATAGGTAACTGTAAGTTCATTATTATGGAAAAAGAAGATGGGAGAAATAATCAGTGCAGTTATAACAAAAAACACAAAAACCCTGTGTTGGGTGAAGAAACGTTTGTGAAACTTCAGTTGCTGTTGAACACTTTTCTCAGCACTTTGTAAGCACAGGGGGAAAAAAATAGCTCCTGCCCTTGACAGTGTGCTTTGGGGGAATGATAATCAGGCAAGTAATTTTATTATAATGATATATGATATGTTATAGAAATTGTGATTATAAGAAAAACACATGGATTAAATCATGTATGTAACAAAGTCTGGTATAATAAATCTGTCTAAAAATTTAAATCTATTTGGATAGTGAGAGTTTACTATTTAAACCTAAAATAGGGGTGCCTGGCTGACTTGGTTGTGGAGTGTGCGACTCTTGATCTTGGGGTTCGAGCCCTGTGTTGGGTGTAGAGATTACTTAAAAATAAAATAGAAGCCCTAAAATAATAGCATCTTTGTTGGTAAGAAAGGAATTATACAAAAATTGGATAGTGTTTCTGGATCATTAGGATGAATTAGGTCATCTCTCTAGTCCCCTTTCCCTTGGAAATTTCTTGATTCCATTATTTTTTAGATACTCCATACCAGTTAATAATAAATTTAGATACTTTTCAGTAATATCATTTTTATTGAAGTGAAATTCACATAGTGAAAAACCATTTTAAAGTGTACAATTAAGTTAGCATTTAGTACATTCACCGTGTTGTACAATCAGCACCTCTGTCACCTCCCAAAATGCAGATTTTTTTTTTTTATCTCACAAGTTTCTCAATGAAGGAAATCAGTTTTTGCATAACTGAGCAGAGTTCAACTTGCTCTCTTATTTTTATAGAATTTAACAATAGTGAAACATTACAGCTGTAGTAGAGATTATATCCAGCGCTGGTATGAAACCCATGATTCTTTTATAGTCGGCTTATATATTTTATCATGCTTTGCACATCCTGGCTTCCTAGTTGTTCTCTATCTTGGAGATAATTCATTCTGATGAATTTCATTATGTTAGATCAGTGATACAGTATATAACTTTGGATCTTTAGAGCTTGAAAATGCTTAGAAACAGTACAAAGAACAAAACTGACTTTGGGATTTGGGAGGTACAGATGTTATCTCCAGTTCTGAGGATGCTGAGATTTTGGTAGGGATTGTGTTGAATCTCTGGATCAGTTTGGAGATAGTCGCCCACCTAACAAGCCATTAGTACGGTAGATCTCTCCATTTATTTAGGTGTTTTATGTTTCTCATCAGTGTTTTGTAGTTTTCAGTAGACAGAGTACATACATATTTTGTTGAACTATGTTTCTTGACATTGTTGTGAATGATACTGTTTTTAAATGTTTTCATTTCATTGCTAATTTATAGGAATACATTTGATTTTTGGTTCTGACATGTCCTGAAAACTTCTAAGCTCACTTATTTGTTCTAGTGACTTCTTTGTAGAGTCCTTGAAATTTTTCTATGTAGATAATCACGTCCTGTATGAATAGTTTTTTCTTTCTTTGCAATCTCTATTCCTTTTACTTCTAATTATGTCTGTATGGGCTAGGAGTAGGTGTGATAATAAAAGACCATCAGATTTCTTTCTGTACTAACTGGGGGGTGGGGTGGGGAATTTATTTAAATAGCATTGGGCTGGTTTTCAAACATAGTTCATCCTCGTTTGCCTGGGACTGCGTTACCTGAAACTGTGCATGTTGGAACTGGGTCCTTGCCTCCCTTAGAACCAAGGGACACAGTTCTCTTACACACGAGTTTCTGTTAACACGGTACTTTGCAAGGTAAGGACTGCCTCTAAAGTGTCTTTTCTTAGCAGTACAAATATACTAAACCCAAATTCTTCTTGTGGATAATCTTTCCTTTGAACAGTAACCATTTGTTTTCTTACTGGGAAAATTTGGGGGGGTTTTACTTTTAAAGTTATCAGGCAAAATGATTAATAAGATTGAAACTATAGTCAGAAATGAAATTTTTCAGATTTTCTCTGGGCTTACTGTGCATAAATAATTATTTAATAATTATTGGTTGATTTTATTGGTAGTAGTAAATATCTATTTTTCTGCCTTGAACCTGGATAAATAAGATGAATGAATGTTTTTTGTGATGTATACAGTATAATGATGCCATGACCTATTTTATATTTCCTAAAGTGTATACTTCTAATAAGTTAGCAAACTTAACTGGAAAAGTCTTAGTTTGAAGATGTTTTCAGTGTGCTTTTGTTCTTATCCATTTTAGATAATGTGCAAAATGGCTCCCATGGTTGGGAAGGACATTACAGAGCGTCTTATCCTCCCTAGGTTTTGTGAGATGTGCTGTGATTGCAGAATGTTTCATGTTCGAAAGGTATTTTTTAGGCATTTTGTTTAAGAACACATGGTTTTAGTGGTTACTGTATTGATGTGTGAAACTTAAAAGATTATTTTAAAAGCACTGTATGTAAGATTTTTGAAATGTCAGTGATGCTTTCGTTGCCAGGTGTGTGCTGCCAATTTTGGAGATATTTGCAGTGTAGTTGGCCAGCAAGCTACTGAGGAGATGTTGGTAAGTGTTGCAGACATAAAGGAGTAATAAAGGAGTAAGCAGTACATTACAGAGTAATACATAAAGTTTAAAATGCATACATTTACCCCCCAATTTTATTAACACAGTCTCATGAATGTGAACTAGAACGATCAGATGACTCTGAGTTTGAGAGTTCACATTTCTATACTCTAGGCACTTGAATTGTGTTTTGATTATAGTTTGTTAAAAATGCAGATATGTGATGTGTAAGGACCATTGATTTATTTTTACCTCTCCCACTTCTATTAAATCAATTCTTATTCGAAGAAATCTGTAATTTTATTGCAACTCTCAAGTATTCTAGTGACAAATCTACAGCTTGTTATTTTTAAATGGTTAGTGCATGGGGATATACATGCTTCGTGTACCAGTTAACATACTGGAAGAGTTTCTGAAATCATCCATTAGGCAAAACAGTTTAGGTACAAGATTTTGCATAACATTTAAGCTGTATTTGTTGTTTCTGCTTTTCCAGTCAACAGTGCTGTGAATTAGGTGTGATTTATTTCAAATTACTAAGTTTTAATACGAAACAGATCTTCTAAATTGTTATAGGAAAATCTAATATTTCGAAACATTGTGAAAGCAGAAAGTGAAATAAAATGAACCACTGAAACCTGAGTTGTCTGCCTAACACACCACTGTCCTTGCGTAGCTGCCCAGGTTTTTCCAGCTTTGTTCTGATAACGTGTGGGGAGTCCGGAAGGCTTGTGCTGAATGCTTCATGGCCGTTTCCTGTGCGACATGTCAAGAAATCCGACGGACTAAATTGTCAGCACTGTTTATTAATTTGATCAGTGATCCTTCACGTTGGGTAGGGTTTTGTCTAATTATCATTTTTGTAAAATAATACATTTTACAAGAAACATTTTGATTTCATGATTTAAGAAACAGTTTATCAAAGTATGTTACTGTTAATCCTTTTAGGAGTAGACAGTAGGCAAACTACTGTATTAACTTTTTTTTTAACTGGACAAAACTTCTGTACAAATAGAAATCATGTTCATTCTAAGGATATGATGTGGCATATTGATTTTCAGGTGTTAAACCTTCAATAAGTCTCACCTGGCCATAGTGTAATAATTTTTGATATGTTGCTGGACTGTTTGCTACTATTTTGTTAGGGGTTTTTATATCCATATTATAAGAGATAATGGTCTATAGCTTCCTTGCAGTGGCTTGTTTTGTTTTGTTTTGTTAACAAGGTAATAATGTCCTCATAAAATGAGTTGGGAAGGGCTCCCTCTTTTTTTTGGGAGAATTTGTGAAGAATTGATGTTCTCTTTTAAATGTTTAGTAGAATTCAGCAGTGATGCCGTCTCAGTTTGGACTTTCCTTTGTGTGGTTTTTTTTTGGTTTTTGTTTACTAATCTCTTCACTTGTTATAGGGCTATTCAGATAAGCTTCACTTGTTAGAGAGTTATTCAGATTATTTCTTCTTTTAGTAAGTTTTCTTTTATTTTTTTATTTTTTTAAAGATTTTATTTATTTATTTGAGACAGAGAGAATGAGAGACAGAGAGCATGAGAAGGAGGAGGGTCAGAGGGAGAAGCAGACTCCCT